TCCAGACTCATCGGGGAAGTTAGAATCACTGACTTGTACATCGACTGATCACCGCAGTCATTGAATAGGCCGTATACGCATACGAGGCGCCCCTCTGGTTCTGAATGAAATCTGAATAGGGGTTGCATCGTAAGGGTTAGTCGGTTAGCGCCAATGACTTTAACTATTTGCCTGTTGTATCACAGATATTCTATCTGACCAACTATCTCTCCCCTTCCCTTCCCTTCCCTTCTATTTTTTGCCATTAAATCGGCACCAGCAGCGCTTGTTTAATTCAGAATATTACCCGAACCATAGCTGTTGAGATGAATCTAGTAACCACATTCACATTCCCACTTTCCTAATGCTGTGAGAGATGCAGCAGTCTTTGGTGTCACTGTGAAAGAGCTCAGGCGCTGCACACAAATGATTTATCTCCTTGGTGACCTGCTGATATCCCAGGACCTAACTCGAACTCAGATGCATAACGAACACAACTGCTTCTGGACTTCATAAGGAATAAACCTTCACTGCAGCGCCACCTTCTCTCCACCCAGCGTAATCCCGCGCCGTCGCAGGGTCCGCTGCAGCGTCACCTGTACTGGTTTTTTATTCAACGGTCTCTTTAAATCTGTACCAACTCATTCTGTAAGCTGAATGGGAAGCAACTCTCCGAGCTGGGACAGCGGGACTAAGACTATCGCCCCGACATTATCTAGTCTCCAAAACATCCATTGAGAGCTTGAGCCATAAAGAAGATACGGAGGTTTCGGAGTTTTTCTACATTGTTTATGCATGATTACGTGACACTAGTACAATAGGGATGGTTTATCGTGTTCAGATGTCTGGATGCTGATGTCCATGACGTTTGTCTTCTGCAGCTTGCTTGAATTGGCTATTGTCGGTTATAAGGTGAAAAATGAGGAGATCATGAAGAAACGTGGCTCTTGTTACGCTCCGAAAAAGGTAGGCGGAAAACTGATTGTAAGCACAAGGACTCATTTGTCCATTTACATAATAGAGCAAATCGGCAGATTATCTGCTCAAGACTATGCCCTTCCGTTTCAGACTGCGAACCATCACGTGAACACGTTCGAATCGTCGCCAGCCGGTCTATGCCGGTACGAGCAACGGTTTGTGCTTCCACTGGAGCGGAAAGGATTAGGCTGGAGCCTTATGAACCGCCTTCGTGGAATGCGTGATTGGCCACCGGAGAGAATCGATCACATATCATCTTTCATATTTCCTGCTTGCTTTGCTCTATTCAACGTGAGTAGGACTGATATAGTTTGCCAAACTTGCCAAGAATTTTGCCCTCAAACTTATATCGAAATCACAAAGGCGAGGCTGCTATTGGTATACCGTTTACAAGACACTTTGGGGAGTAGAGTAACATGGAATAGACACATCGCTCATCAGACCTCGAGCCAAAGCCACACATTCAGCTGCGTTTTGCAGAGAAAGGATATCTTTTTGTTACCAGCTTAATGCAATGACTAAGGGATCTCAATGTCCCAGAGTCTAAGATGTAACACTTTTCCTTTCCAAATTATCCAACTCTTCCGTTGCCGATCACAAGCACGGTTGAAAAAGGAGGAGGCTTGGTGCGAAGGGCAAGCAACCCTTCCACTGTAAAAATTACTCGCGCTGAAGAAACGATGAATGCATTTAAACCTGTTGCATTGAAGGAGCCTAACTCTAGCAGATTCCGTGTTCGGTATTCTTGAAATCTCAGCATATCACATAATTTTTCACGCTTTTTTGCCGCGCAGGTTTGTTATGATGAAACCGCTTTATCAGGTCGACGTTTCGGACAACTCGTCGTCTTCAAAAACCTGGAAGTAGTTCGGAGCTCCTGATCGTGGCTTGCCCGACCAAGCGAACAAAGACGCTAGGCCAGTTGCAACAGCTCTCAGAAACTTGAACGTCAAAACATCCCAGCGGAAAAACCAATTTTGGTGAAACTGCAGAAAGTTGATTTTTCCGCTGGGATGTTCTGGCGTTCAAGTTTTTGGGAGTGTTGCAACTGGCTTAGCGCTCTTGGGCGCTTGGTCGGGTAAGCCACAGATCAGGAGCTCCGAACTACTTCCAGGTCCCTGAAGACGACGAGTTGTTTGAAACTTCGACCTGATAAAGCGGTTTCATCATAGCAAAACTGTACAGCAAAACAGTGTCAAAACCTAATTCAGGCCTTGTGATGGAAAGTATCCCGATGCGGGGTTCGGTTTCCTCACCCAAAAACGGAACATGGAATGTGCACACACTATATCAACCTAGGAACCTTGCACAGCTACTTCGAGAGTTCGACAACTATCACACTGTATACTGGGGAGTGTTGGATGGAGACCAGTGAATGAGAGGATAATCGCGGCGCGGTTTGTAACAAGGCACACCCGCATCACGGTCGTTCAAGTACATATATGTATGCACTTACGGAGGACACGAGTGAGGAATTGAAAGACAGTCTCTATGAATAGCTTAAGGACATTGCTTATGACATACCGAGACGAGATCTGAAACTTATCATTGGAGATTTCAGTGCGACGCTGAGTCAAGACCTAACCGGCTACGAGCGAACAATTGGGCCATTCGCTTTTTGTGAGCATCATAGTTACAATGACGAGCGACTAGCCTTTTTCTGCGAGCAGAATGTACTGTGTGTTGGATATACGTTCTTTCAGAACAAATGGATTCATAAGGAAACCTGTTGTTCGCCCGATGGGACAACAGGGAACGAGATTGACTACATTTGCATAAGCAAGAAGTAGAGTACGTCTCTTTAAGATGTTCGGGTATTCCTGGCGCTCACGTGGTTTCAGATCATCACATGGTGGGGGCTCAAGCTGAAGAGGCAGGAGAAGAAATCAAAGTTAGTAGACCATTTGCTGTTGGGAAGCTGGAGAACCCGTACACTAGTACAAGCTTCTATCTGGAATTACATAATCGATTCGCGGTTCTGGAGGAAGCGGGTACTTCGGAAGAAGAGTGGACATCCATCAAACGAGCCATCCAGGATTGTGCTCAGAGAATGGTCGGACGAAGGCGCGGGAAACGAAAAGAGCAATGGATTTAAGAAAGCACCTGGCAGAAGAAAGATGAAAGGAAGCATTGGAAGCTCCGGAGAGGGCAGCGGAGAATAAAGACGAGCTCGATGAAGCGACTAGTAAGATATGCTGAACTGGATCGCATCGTGAAAAGGTCCTGTCGCCGAGACAAAAAAAGGCTGGTTTCCGCAAGAAGGAGCAGAAGCCCAGCATGCTGCTAAACGTGGTAACTCGAGAAACTTTTACCGCAATGTCAATGAATTGATAGGAAGTTCCAACAAGGTCAATTTGCCTACCAATGACAGTAATGGCAAACTCCTTCTGAGCGCTGATGAACAGTAAGAAAGATGGCTCGAAAACTTTCGGAACATCCTCAACCAGCCTGAACCACAGAGGTTGTTGTTCCGATGGAATGGAGCCAGCTAATGAGCCAAATGTAGATGTTGGCAGAATAACCCCAGAAAAGAGAATTGAAGCAATTCGATGCCTTTGCAACGGGAGAGCCTCTGGCATATGTAGATGAGATCCCGACAGAATTGTTAGAGGCAGGTGGCGGCACGATGGTGAAGAAGCACGCGGAATTGTAAAACCATTGCTGGAATGGTGAAGAGGTCCCAGAGGATTGGAGGAAAGAAGTGATTGTGAAGCTACCTAAAAAAGGAAGTTTGGCGGATTGTGAAAATCAGAAAGGTATCACACTTTTTTTATTTTTTCAGAGACCAGGGTCCCACCAGAGATGTCTGCGAAGGATCATGAAGATACGGTACATGGATTACGTCACGAATGAGAAAGTACTGCGCCGTTCTGGTATGAATAGCTTCCACGTGATTGTGGCACAGCGTAGACTTTGATGGGCCGGTCACGTGTTGCGTATGCCGCAGCAACGTACTAATAAAGGAGCCAAGGATTAGGAAGAGGCCGTCCCAGAAACACGTGGAGAAGAACATTTGACAAAGACCTATCAGATTATAGGCCTACATCTGATGGTGTAGCGGGAACGGGTGTTCTTCTGTGATACAATAGTCTTGCCTATATATTTTTATTACTAATACAACATTATAAATAGAACAAGGGGAACGGGTCAGGAAGAGGAGGCCATACGGCCAGAGCAATGATCCACGGCGGCAGATTAGAGTAAGTCAACCCGGCTGTTTCAAGCCAGCCTCTTTTATATCGGCATCGCACAGGACCGGCAGCAGTGGCAAGGCTGCATCGCTCGATATGCCCAACGGGATGGGAGGAACTAAGTAAAAAGTTCCAAATCACCCAGCATTAGTTAGATGTATAGTCTCAGAAATGGCGTATTCAATCCAGATGGTCCAGCTCTATGAAGTGCCAGAAACGGGCTGTGAGTGATACAGCTTCTTCTGCTTTTTCATCCTGCCTACTGTCGGAGAAAATACCTTGAGGTCGCAGGGTACCTTAAAAATGTTATCGATATAAGACCATCTATTCTACACTACAGAAATAACGACAAGAATATTGTTCAGTTCGAAGTCGGTAGAAATATACATAGGCGACGAGCTGTTTGCAAATTAATACGGACACACCATTTTGAAGACGGCCAGTTCTTCTCATTTGCGTCAGGTTTTCCATGAACGATGAAAGTTAGAGGAAATTTACATGTCTATAGGAATCACAGTAACTTATCATCACTCAAATACTTAAAACTCATCCGTTTCCGGATAGAGGAAGAATGTTTTCTAGTTCAACACTACGAATTTAATGATATCTCACTTGAACCGTGCAGTAGGAAGCGAGAAAACAGTCGATTACTCGTAGACGGATCGATTTTTTGTCCCATTGAATCATGAAATGATAAACACTCTAATTTATTTAGTTCGGGGAAGAAAAAGGAGTGAAAAGGTCGGCATAGGTTGAGAATTATTTGATTTTCATCCACAAATCACACTTTGTCGTTCAAAAAATTTTTATCTCACCAATCAGTGAGCAGAAAACAGCAGAATAGCCTAAAACTTTACTTCAGAAAAAAATAAAATAAAAAAATATTATTATGAAAATATCAACTTCGGAATGAGCTCTTAATAAACTCATAGATCTTATCTTGCGAACACTACCCATTTTGCAAGTTCCTAATAAGTCCACACGCTCGAATGATGCTCGTAACACTGTGAAATACTGGTTTCAAGGTTACTCTCAGACAAAGTCTAAATAAGCTGAATCTTGCATTTTCAGATACTTTACTGGTCATTTTACTACCACAAGAAGTTGCGACAAATTGCTCAAATGAAGCTTTAATCGTTTGGAGACGTCTGATTCTTTTTGACAGTCCAGGGCTTTCTTGTTTTTTTTTATCACACGAATTTCACATCAGTGCTGCAACTACTTCAGGATACCTACGTCGAATTGACGTTCTCGTCTGAAAGTGCCTGTTGTTATTATATATCGATATATTGATTTTTGTTGATGTATTCAAGTGAGAGGAGTAAAAATTGAAGTTTCACTGGTGCTCCTGAACAAATTGGTAGATTATTATCGGAGAAATGACAAAACCTTTCTACGCCTTTAGCTTCTCGTCATAGAGACTCATTACGTGACCAGAAGCCATTGTCCGTGACCATTGTCAATTTTACTAGTAAGGCTGGTAGGGAATGGTAAAGGGCTTCACTTCATAGCTGCGCTTGTTTAGAACTAAAAAGATCCCGTAACCTTACTTTGAGGAAGAACGAGACGTTCTTAACATCTGTTATTTTTGATAGTGGGTCAGCAGTGAATTCAGGCACCCTCCCGTATGCGATCAGAATGGAGAATCCTTAGTTGGAGCGCCCTTCATGGACATCTTTAAGTTACAAATTTCCACGCACCTTTTGACCCTGATCTGACTTTTCACTTCCCACCTACTGAGTATCTCCTTTTTCTCTGAACTTAGGCCTAATGGAGGTTAAATTATATCCTATCTTCTCTACAATCGCTTACCAAGCAATTTCCGAACGTGTAAAACGTAGAAAAAAGTTAGGTCACATCTCTACAAACAAGCCATTCCTATCCCTTCCATGGAAAACGTTTCTTCAATGAAGTTGTGTCGCTGTAGCCATTTAAGGAATTGATTTATCACCTCATTCGGCCCCGTATCGCAGGATTGCGATGGAAGATTGGAGAGCGCGCTTTGTTAGGTAGGAAACCCTTTAATTATTTGGATTGTCTGCGTTCTCTTCAACTCCAATGCGATCTTGATCGTCGCTAATATAGGAGGAGCCATTCTTATTGACCAAGTCTAATAAATATAAGAACGAAAATGAAACAGGCAAAAAACGGTTAAATCGAATAAAAAAGAAAGGCAATCAACGCAAAATATTGCCCTATCTGTTGGCGTGGAGGCGGGGTGAGTACGGTATTTGTAGTGACATTTGCCGCGAAGGAGAATGCCGCAATCGGGGAGAAGTTCCGTTACTCTTATGAAATCTGTGACTTCTGAGAAAATGTATGCACTTTGGCTAGTAACAGAATAAATAGAAGAATATCATCAATATTCAATGTGCAGAAACATCTTTCGACAGTGGTCTACTATTCAAGGAAATTGTAATAATAATAATTGTAATCGAAGACGTAGGAGAATGCATAAGTATCACCATGAAAACCATAGGAACCCGGAATCAAGTCGCAAAAACTTACGTCAACTGAGTTCCTAATGCGCTAAGGCCTGTGCGCGTTTGTGTGTGTCCTCCCAGAAACTCATAGCTCCTATCCCCGTGTACTTGGAGCGTTCAAATTCGGTAGGAATACAGCGGCAAGATCGGAACACCTATGGTAGGTGGAAGGGCCTGATTCCGTCCACAGGTATGGGGTTTGCGCGACATAAATGTTTAAACGGACATGCACATTTCCTGTTCCCGTAGACTTGGATTGTTTGAAGTTTGTATGAGTAGAGGGGCAGGATCGGGAAGCTGGCGATGGAGGAGGCCTCAAGGAGCAAGATCACCAATTGAATCCTAACGCTTTTGCTATATATTTGCGATCTAGCTTTGTCTTTCTGATAGATTTTATTCGACAAGAACTGTAAGTGCAGACAGTAATCGATTAAGGGTACTAAAATATCCTCACTATATATGAAGTGGGCGCGTGTGCCGGTTTGGAGGGGAGTTCGATATCACCTGGTAAAATACCTGCAGAAGTTTTAAGCTATGGATGAGCCGTTGTGGGCATACAATGAGATGAACAACAACAGATCGAGAGTTCTAATGCTAGGCATAAGCACTGATGTATTATTTCGAATACCATTTGCGTGCGACCCGTACTGGTATTCCATTACCATAAGGAAAAGACTGTATTGCATTATCACCTTCTAGTTTTAGGGTGCAAAGAAGGGTGTAATTCAAACATTTCCTGATTTCTCTGGGAGTATGATAAGTCTAAACTTTGGATACGATCTGTTTCGGATAAAACTCCGCTCAACATCATACCCTTTTGCTCTTGGTAATATAATATTGAAGGATATTGCAATATTAGCGACATACCAACATCTAATTCATATATATATATATATATATATTCAAAGCCAATCCTCCGATTGTTCCATTCAAAATTACAAAACAAAGAACAAGCAGGAGTAACAAAATACGTTAAAAGAGAAGGAAGCAAGAAGACTTTGAGAAGGTTCTGCAGATTTTCAAGGAAAAAGAAAGGCTCTCTCATCCGTAGAACATTAGAGACTATCAAACACCTTCAGCGAAAGATATCAGACACACTGCTTTCGTTACACGGCGAAATAACAGCAGGGTTGGTGTAATGATTTTCTAGATAATGGTAACAATGAGTTAAAACCAGCTCATCTTCACTATAACATGATAGAGAAGTTAGCAAATTATGGCAAAGCAAAAACTAATTTTCACAATATAACTATTATATGGCGGACACCCCACTTAGTAAATCCCCTGATATGATACTAGCTATGTAAAGCAATGCCTAATAAGCACATTTTCAAACAATAGGGGANTATATATATATATATATATATATATATATATATATATTCAAAGCCAATCCTCCGATTGTTCCATTCAAAATTACAAAACAAAGAACAAGCAGGAGTAACAAAATACGTTAAAAGAGAAGGAAGCAAGAAGACTTTGAGAAGGTTCTGCAGATTTTCAAGGAAAAAGAAAGGCTCTCTCATCCGTAGAACATTAGAGACTATCAAACACCTTCAGCGAAAGATATCAGACACACTGCTTTCGTTACACGGCGAAATAACAGCAGGGTTGGTGTAATGATTTTCTAGATAATGGTAACAATGAGTTAAAACCAGCTCATCTTCACTATAACATGATAGAGAAGTTAGCAAATTATGGCAAAGCAAAAACTAATTTTCACAATATAACTATTATATGGCGGACACCCAACTTAGTAAATTCCCTGATATGATACTAGCTATGTACAGCAATGCCTAATAAGCACATTTTCAAACAATAGGGGAAAAACTCCAACCAGAATAATCTATAAATGCGATAGAAGGTGCCTAACAACTTACGATCAAAAACAACATTTCTCAATAATAAGCAAGAAGTTAGAAAGAAATTCTACTTCACCACGTGTTTATGCATTACCTAAACTGCATAAAAAAAATTCAGAAAAAAAAGAGTTTAGATTCTTAACTGGTGCTAAGCATTGTAATCATAAATCTCTGATGATAAGCGTTCAATTCCGTACAGCGTTATGCTGTATTCTAAATCGTTCTTCGAGGCACAGAAAGGATCTTCACAATACCTCTCGTTTGCTCCCGGCCTAATGAAGTTTGGCAATAGCACTCCGTAGACTGGAGTGCCTAACTGTCTGTATTCAAGTGTAGTATGAGATATGGGTACTACAATGCTCAATCAACGTATGTATCATAGGCGAGTGAGGGGCTAAAATATTCAAAATGTTCAGGGGCACGCAGTAATATGGATGCATTTTGGAGAAGCTGTAGAGATTGCACCAATCACACTAGAGCGCACATGTAGCACGCAAGCAGCTGCAGCATTATTCAAATGGCTAAGGATTCTCATAATTATCGTAGACTGTTACAGTGAATAGTATTCATACCCATCCCGAGACGATCGGTATCAAGCAACACTTCCATATGTACCTGCCCTCACTTGTGAACTAGACGTCATGGTAATTTGGGAATCGAGCCTAGTCTTGTGTTGCATTTGGATTGACTGTCTATTCTTTTCTACTTGTTCTTCACTGAACCTCACCGACATTTGAAGCAACTGTGCTGGGAAGAAGGTTAATTTTGTCTTTTCCTATATGCTCCGGAAAACTGAAGATGAACGACCTAAGCGTGAGGTACTCGTTCGTCTCAGTTGTTCCACATGGGTCATATGTATGATTCGATTGATTTTAATCCGTACCCAACGTGAGGCTATTGTGCCACAGACGAGAGTGCCTGATTCCACTTTCTTCACTCCAACCCATTCGACTATTAACTACTCGACACCTAACTCTATTCAAGTTCGTCCCACTCTCCCTGGTCAATACATAGGCGTCGCACCGTTTGCCCAATTTTCTTCTTCAAACTTTCCTTTTTTCCAGTTGAAGGAACAAACTTCCTTAATTCCAGACAGCCTGTTACCGCTATGAAGCCATTGATCGAGAACCGGATCCATCTGAGAGCATAGGATCTTTACCATCAGCCAACCTTCGCAAGGTATTACAATGGCCAATTATGAGTAACCTTGCACTAATACCCAAAAAAAGATGTTGATTACACGAACAAATCCGACGAATCAGAAGTCGAGTTAAATTTCGAATTGGTAGTTTGAGGTTGCTCAATACAGGGTGGGCCATAGATATGGTAACAACTTAAAGGAAGTCCGCATTTTTCTTGCTCCAACGGTTTGTCCAAATCTGCACCTTTTCCTATAATTATCGTAAACCTGAACTCACATCTGCTTTGCCTTGATTCGCCAGTTTTCGAGAAATGGCCAAACCTCGCAATCATAAAGTGACCTTTCTGTTTTTACGTGCATTTGGTGAGTAGACTCCGGGTTCTTTCGTGGTTATTCACATTTCTCGCACGACAGCTTCCTATACCGCGAAACGTGGCAAGGATAACGAACAGCCTTTAGACAGTCTTATTGTCTCGATTACGACCCTTTTTCCGAATTCAGCGCTTGGGAATGATTGCGTTGCGAAACCTGCAGAAACATGAGAAAAATACTGTCGAATTGAATGTATGATCTACTTAAGCGGGAATAGTCTTCCACGAGCAAATACATCTGTATCCAGCGATGTTTCGTAAGCCATAAACTTTTTGGCGGGAAGTTTGAGAGAAAGAACAAATGCTGTGTCATACTTGAACGCGGCACGCGCTTCGACACAAATTTTCTGATGGAAAGGTATTAAGCGTAAAAGAAACGTTGGGGTCCCAGAGTTTACGTATGCTTCTCACTACCAATGGCGGTGTACTTGACAAGGATCAGATCTTTTCTCGTAGCCATTTCCTCTTCCGTCTTCCGATGGTTTGGGCTGGAATCGTGCCCTCAGAGCGATATTGCTTACTTTTCCCCACAAAAGCATGAAGATTGACCACAACATCTTCATGAAGGACATTGCGGAAAGGTCTTGCCTGAGGTGAAAGACCGTTCTGGGAATACGATTTGGAAACAGTCGCGCACTTGCTCACGAGTGGAAAAAGATCAAGAGCGGTACTGAGAAGATGTTCGCAATCTCACCCCTGCCTCCAATTGGCCTATGAATATTCCATCCCGCAATACTCTGGAATTTTCCGCCCCGCAATCTTTTCCGTGGGTGAAGTGAATGCTGGAGAGAGAAGCCTGCGCATCAACATACCACTGTTGCTGCCTCTAAGAAATCATTACAGAAACCCGAGCTGGAGCTTTCAAGAAACTGCGTGCCCCGTCGATGAGCAACCGGAGTTTCTTCGAGCTGTAATTGGTAGAGCAAGCGGTTATATCAGAGGACTGGCCGTTCATTTTGTTGACGCGATCACACAAATCCACCGAACACCAATATGTATTGCGATTTCCGCACAACAGTTATTGTGTTACCTTGTATACATTCACCCTGTATATGTTCCGGTCACGGTGCTGTTGTTTCGTGCATAATCCGGAGATCTGGGAGTGGTATGGAGACAATCGTCCGCCCGGGGATACGCGCGGCAAAATGCACGGCGAAATCGATGGGAATTTTGCCGTCTCTGGTCTCGTCCCTATCATCGGGCTACAGGTTTAATGTAGAGAAGATTAATAGTATCAATTGATCCTACTATTTTATTCTACTTCAAATCCAGTCCCCAATGAAAGGCACTTAAGTCGTTCAAATCATCACAAATTTCGCCGCGCAATTTGTCGCGCTAACCTCTTTACTCACGTACGTTCCATTTGGGATGAAAGGAAAATGCCCCAACGCTTCCCTTTTTTTGAAATTAACTAATTCATATAGAACCTTATAGGAGGATAAGAGCGTCGAAGCCCAAACCAGAGTATATGTATGTATTGTATATAGGCCAAAAAACATTACAAGGAGGTCACCGTGAACGAGAAAGATCGTAATCATCTTTATTTCCCAGTTGGAGAAATGAATGACGTCGAAAAAATTAGATCTCAGTTGATGATGAGATCACATTAGACGTATGGCATTCAACCACAGATTCCAAAGTAGTTTTTATCATCTGGAACATTAAAGAACAACTTGGAACGGCTAAATGCGACTAGCCAGAAACCGGTTCCTCCACAATAAGCCATTGGTAACGAGTTGCGACTTGAATGCGTCCATTACTACATTTTCTTATCACCGGACTGCTGTAGAAGCGAAACGCCTTCCCATTTATCATGTTTTCCTTTCTTCCGCAGACCTCGGATTTGTTACCTCATGACGTTTTGAACAGGTGTACTGCAACTACACTACGCGCGAACTTAAAAATGTGGACATCGAGAGCCTAAAATAATCACCATCACGATAACGGTTTCTCACGGTCTACGGTTTTTCTAGGCTGACAAAAAAAAAACCGCTGACACGGGCTATAACCCTTTGCCGTCTTTGCAGAACACCAGTTCCCGTCAACATAACCGAGAGAAAGTGCTTCGCGCCTCCCGGACGATCCAAGTGACTATTCTGCCCGTCTAATCTCATTTTGTTAAAACGACAGTGTCCTGTGATGGAAGAGTGTAGTACATTCACAGCAAACTTGATGACATTTAGTGAATGGTGTCGTAGCTGTATGAGGAAGGATACCATAATGGTTTAGTCTAGTGGGCCACAATTTGCGGCAACGGCTGAAATTGAGTGCTTCTGTCTCGTTTACGTTGAATCTCGAAAAATTTCGTCATCTTGAATTCTTCACTCAGGAACTAAATTGACTTCAGCTTTTTCATGTGGCTGCTTTTAATAAAAAGTTGTACTTCAGCACGATGTTGGAGCTTTATTCTATTGGAAAAGCTTTCTTGGAGCGAAGACAGACGGTTTGGTCAATATGGGCAACAAGCATCTTCAAACCGTGTCCGGTTCCGATCAGCGTACCCTGGTGATGGCAGGCTTGGCCGGAACTCGATCTCCAGACCATACAAGTGTTGTAGTGAGCTACTTCCCCTACACCACATGCTTCCTAAAAGCGTTAATGGGGACACTGAGTGACTGTTTGCCAAATCATCATTGTGGACCTCCTAGGCTTGGATTCCGGATCATGCGCCCCTAAACTCCATGTTAACAAATGTCGGTCTCCGAAAAAGATTCCAAGTAATCCGGTTTTCTTTTTACGCCGTTTTCCTCATTTTTGTCTCTCTCTCTCTGCATTAGACGCCGTTGCACTTTCGATAAGGAAATTCAACTTCTTCTTCAAACAGTTTTTCCGAATGAGTCCCATACTCTATTTCTTTTCAAGCCATTATAATCACAGCCGTTGGTTGTTCTATGTTCTTCTTTTCAAGGAATCAGTCGAAATCGAAGCGTTTCAATCATTTGGTGATTGTACCTGGCAATGGCTGTTGTTCTATGACATTTTCTTCAACGAGTTCTTATTTGTACCGTTGTCTTTACTCACTACTTCACTAAACAAACCAACCTTCATTTCTAAAATTTTTGCGTTTGCTGTTTTTTATAACATTAAAAAATGTCCAAGCTCTGAGCATTCACGCTTGTCATATGTAGTGGCATCTGTGCAACTTTTTTCATGACCTCTGCCGGACTACTCTTGAATTCTCTCGGGTTCATAAAGATCATGATATTAATATAAGAAGATGTCTCAAAAATTGAACTTAGCACCCGAAACCCAACGATCAACTTGGGTGAATATTTGGTCTTGGTCAATACTATCGGGAGCATCAACATGAAGCAGCATAAAGTTCGACTTGATGTGAATATGATTTGGTTACCTCAATTGCGCTGTTGCAGCTACATTTTTATCATACTGGTGCTGATAAGAATGAAATAACAAAATTATAAAAGCAGAGAATAACAGTCTTCGCAGATTAATCTTTTCCTCCTCCCTAGCGGTAGTCCTGAGATCTCCTCTCAATCTCCTGTCATTTTCAGTTCTCGCAATTTCTTCTTGTCCACGATATATTCTGTCGTTATTTTAGTGTCAAAGAGACCTTCCATGATCATACTCCTTCTCATATTTTGAGATATTAGCGATAGCTGCCCATCAGCCTAGGAGTCTACTACTTCTCTTATGGTAAAGTCTTCTCAATATTTCAGCCTACATACACATATCCAAATCATTGTCAGTGCAGCTGCCCTGTTCTGGTGCGTACATATGTATATGTCTAGATGAACAGGGGGCTTGTGTGACGCGTTTTGTCTTCACTTCTGTCCCGGTCCAGTATCTCCTGACAGTGGACCCGACCAACACCCTCGTTTTTGCGGAATGAAGTTGTCGTTGAGGATTCTTGCCTATGGGCAGAAATCACTGGATCATAGTAGGCCTCACTCCTGTTCTGTATACCATCGTTAGAGCGTCTTGAAGCATCGTTTGTGGCAGGAAGTTTGAACTACTCTCTCTCTCCTTTTTATATTGGCCGTGTTAGCGTTTCATGCCTGATCCGAGCTACCAACCACGGCTCTGTCATTTGTCAGAAATCCTCCGATGATCTTCACACTGTATCCTACAACTGTCCCCTCCCACTACTCAGAACTGATTAACTTGGTCTTCTTCACGTTGGACCTCAGCCCACTCAGCACGTTCTGCTATTGAAATGAGTTGTCTCAGCTCAGTTTAACGGCAGCGTAGTCGTCACCGACAGAGTCAACTTACTTCCATTTTGTGAACTGGTTTTTCTCTTACAATAGATATCTATTACCTCCGAGGTATTTAAGCTCTGCAATTTTTACCGATAAGTCTCTGTGTGTCTCTATGAGTTCGAGCGATCATACAGCTGTTTACGTATCATTTTAAAGGACAGTTAGCCGGCTTCAAGATGTATATGAGCTTTTATTGGGTGACTGACTGAATATTTGCGTATCTACGTGGGCTTGGATCTCATATGGATGAGCACGGTTTCCGCGCCATCATGGGCCGCGTTGCAGCTCATGCTACCCACAACATCAACCGCACCTGGGAAATGAAAAAAACTATGTGAAGAATCAAACAGCACTGGATTTCGGTGCTTGCTCCAAGACATGAAAGACGTCAAGATCAACTTGGTCGAGGTCGCAAGGATTCGCTGGACAGTGGAAAATCGAAGAGCCGCCGTAGAAGAAAACTAAACAAGCAACACTAGAAGGATGGGAGAAGGACAAGGAGTACATCATGCAACAGTATGTAGCAAGGCAGGTGAAGTAAAAGGCAAGGACCGCAACTATCGCTATGCTTTATTATTTTCCCGACATTTATTAAAAAGGACTCCGTCTCTTACACCCTTTCTCGTTCACCTTTGCATTCGTTGAGGCTTCAACAAAGATGTTAACGTGGATTAAATAAATGGTGGTCGAATGTAATCAAGAGTTTTCTTAAACTGTTTTGAATTGCTCTACGAAGCGGTGAACAGTGATAGGGGTAAAATGGCGAAGGCGAAAACAATTTCTTCAGTTATCCCACCATGAATTGCCTTACATTTGCTTCTATTTCTCATATCCATTCCCTTCCCAAAAAAAGGCAAACATTCGGTAATGACTTTTGCAATGTTCGAACTTCTGCAGATGTTTTGACCGTAAGCGCTGATTCAATCTCGCTGTAAGGGATAGTAATCAAAACGCAACTAATTTGTAGTCGGTATGGCTCCAAAGTAGAGACGTCAGCATGCAGAATTGTAAGCAACATCTAATGATACCATCGAACTTCCCCTGCCCTGGTTCGCAAAACTGGTCCTCTCCCCCCCCCCCCACTTCCCCCTCCTCCTCCCCCTGCAACCAGTTATCTACCATAATGTTTATGAAAGTCAATTCTTCTGTTTGCTTAGCAATTATAGTGCACGTAGATTCGAGCAGGAAAATCGTCATCAAGGCCAGACCATTGACCAGTTTTGCAACGAATGAGTGATTATACTCACTTCTCAGCACAAACTTCGCCAAGCATTATCTTGCCGTTCGAGCGCTTGCTTTGGCAAGGGTGGTGGCATCTTCGCAAGTTCGGACGTTTGTTGCAGTTGCATGCAGCTCGCGCTAGTCCACGCTGATGTATCAGCTTAAGGGTTTCGAAGAGAGTTGTCTCTTGGCTACTTGTAAGCTCGCTGCTTTCCTAGCACTATCGTGAAGACGTGCGACGAACCGGTAGAATCCTTCATTGATGTTGTCGGCAACGGAATGTTCCCGTTTACTGTTTAAGTGAAGCGAAGTGGTCCCAGTTGTTGAAGGTTTTGGGTTTCCGATTCTTAAACTTCATAGTTCTTCCTCCACGAACTGAGAAGTAGTATCTTACGCGGTGAAGACGATGATCCGATCCCATTTAGAACTTCGGAACAACAGCGACGTCAGTCAGCCAAAATCTCAGCTTGAAGAAATCCACATTATGGCAAATTACTATGGCCTTCTAAGGGTAGCAACGATCAATCTTTACAGGTTGTCTTGTGTGCAGTGAAGAGAAGTCGCTACGGTGATCTCCCGCTGAAAATACCTGAAAACTATTTCAAATTTGGCGTGGCACTGACGTCATGTCAGGATATAAGCCATGGAGCCAGGGAAGTTGCTGAACGAACAAGAACTTTTCAGTGATATGTCTTCGCCGAACTCTTTGGGGATACACGATTTCTACATCCTCCTTCTACATTGCAGAGTTTATCTCTTTCCACCTTAAATACGCCATTCTCGCTTGACTGAATTGAGAGAACACCAATTTTCGGCATAGTTCTTCTCCAACAAATCGTGCCTACATTATTGCAGAATCGGTAAATGACAAACACATCCCTCGAAATGGTGAAAATACTAAAAAGTGTATTGCGGCTGAACAGGTCAGAGTTGCTTCCTAGTGGTGCGAGCGGAGTTGCCAGTGAGAAAAAAAAAGCTTCGCTGATCTTGAGCCTTGACCTTCTAGCGTTCTTTTACTTTCAGACATCGAAGTAATAAATAGGTAACGGATTTCATTCCCATTTTCAGCGGAACCGGTCTATCGAGAGCGCGTCTACAATGTGCCGCGCCCCACAACCTGCTTCCAAACATGCCAGTCAACGGCATCAAACCAGTGATACCAGTGCAGGCACTTTCCTAGGCAGCTGCCTGCCTTTTGCCTACCTACTGGACAGTTCCTGATTAGTCAGCCATGGCAATTACCTTTTTTTCTCGGTCCATTTCATAGTTTGCACTAAAGTAGATATAGTGCTATAGCACAGGTGACCTTCAGCTGACTCACGCCCTCTATTTCGAGCTGTTGACTTTGTGTGGGTAGAAAAATCTTGGTTACCTTGATTGCCTCGAAATCCACTTTCTAGGTCGAATGTGAAGGTTTCTGTGGAGCACGGCATTTGGGGAATCATTGACAGTAGATCCATTAGCGAAACTTCATGGTTTAAATTATAGTGCTCATTTTTACTTTTTCCAAATGACTTTTTCATCTGCTGAAGCTTCTTCGATCTGGATTGTTTTTTTTCTAGGATCTGCAGGGTACATCTGACTAGAAATACCTCTCCTCGAGTGTTACTTGCGTTATGTTTGATCTTCTGAACAGACCATCACACGGCTTCCCTTCAACCCTTCTATAACGTAAGCGATACTATTGCTGGAATTCTTGGAATCTGATGAACATTGTATCATCGCATGTCCATCTTACATTAAAGTAGTCTTTTTCCGAAATACTCATCCGATTTTCGGTATGCATTGCAGTTGAATATTCGAGAATCTATCTGGGAAGGCATGATATCAGGAAATTTTTGTAGAGTTCGATACGAAGCAGTCTTTCCAGTTACTTTTATGAGGGGCGGGATTTTCCGGAAAGCGACTTCCAAAACGCATTCGTGTTCAAAAGTTGACAAATACTCAAAATTACACTGAGATGGTCGACGCCTTCGATGCACGTCCCATGCCTTTTTTTTGCCATCCCCGATTCGACTACGGTACGCCAGCCACCGAGACCCAACCAAACCGAATAACCTCCGCTCGATTTCATTAATTTAGTGCCATGTTTGTCTGACAGGATGGAAACGCCAACGAGCTTAGTACTTTGATATTCGACTTGAGCTCCGTTCTTTCGACCTTTGTTCGCTTGTGTGAACGTGTCAGTTCTTTTCGACTGAGTCACGAGGAACTAGCCAGTCGCGGAAGTGATTC